GAGAGAAAGAAATTGTAATTTAAGTCAGAGTTTCATTTATTATGCCATTTGATTGATTGTAGACTTTCATTGAAACTAATTTATATACGGATATAAATTATATTTTATTATCAATTCAATTCAAATACTCTTTTAAAAAATAACTCTCTATAAGAAATTCAATGTTTCAGATATACAGTAACTTATTATATTATACATAACAGTATAAACTAATAAACAAAACTAATTACATAATTATAAATTATAATCTATTACATGTACATAATATACTGTTTATATAATCATTATTTACATACTATTAGTACACAGAGAAGTAGTTTTAGATACAATCCTTTCTGGGGTTTATATTTATATATGAGATTCTTATACAATAAATACAAAAACATGTATTATATTTGAATTTATCAAATAATAGAGTGTTTGTCAGGAGATTGCTTAGAAATAATTTACATAAATATATGACAAAAGAAATGAGAAAAATAAACTGAAACCCAAAAATAGTGAGACATTTGGATGAAAATTTTAATAGAGTATAGCATATGATGAGAGAGAGAGAGAGAGAGAGAGAGAATGTGTACAGAAATGTATGGCTTGTATGGTATGGTATGGGTTAGGGATGTTGTAACGATGAATGACAGCCACAGCTCTGCACCAAAAGCCGATCAAAGCGTTTGAGGACAACATTTCCTCTGTCGTCGAAGAACAACGCATTCATTGCATTGAATTTGTTTGCGAAACAACAGTCCGCGTGTCGGCTCCTCTTCCCCTTCTGCGTCCAATAATAGGGTCGCAAACGACTCGCACTTCCGAAACTACTGTCACTTAACGTCGAGCTCTTAGGGTTGGCGCGATTAACGCACTTTCCTTCACATAAATATGTTGTGAAACCTTTTGGGGATATTATACACGACGACCAGCCGATGCTCTCGAAATCAATAGAGAGCTGACGACCGCTGCAGACGCTGTTTGGCGTATAAGAAGAAGGGGAAGATGTGCCACCATTTGATGGCACACTATCTGACACTATAAATGATTCATTGGTTGCTGTGAGTGATGGGTCCGGCGATGGATTCAAGTCTTCATTCAATTCAATCGCATCCGAGTTCTCGCCATTCAGTGCAGAGAATCCGTAATCATATTTACCTAACATTTCGCATACAATACAATAATTGAATTTCTATTTTTAAAAATTAATATTAATTTAAAAGATTTTAATATTAATGCTGTTTGAGTGTAAACTAAGGCCCTGTCAATGCGATTCAAATATAGTGTATACATCTCTAAATCAATAAATATTAATATTGCTTGAGTAAATAAACTTATTCTTATGAATATAATTATAATGATATTATATAATGGGTATACTTATTGTACAGTATACAAACTTATAAAATAAATATTATTAATGTCTATTTTTGTTCACAAAAACTATACAGTATATTATACAGTAATTTCATTAGTGAATAAGACTTTTATCTATTTGTATCTAAAAATTCAAATATTTTGGGAAACTGATGAGAAATATTTAATTAAAAATTTATAAATTTTAAGTATTTATGTTTTATATTGAATATCGCATTGAATGGCTTACTATTGAATTCTTTGAGTTTATTAGACGAATAATTTTGTTTGTGGTCTGACGTGAAGACAACAATCATCGGCTGTTTATTCATATGATTTCGATATCTGTTTGCGAATCGGATTTCATTTTTCACATTTTCGTCGAGAAGTGTTTTGACAGATATTTGAAGACCTATTCAATGATCATTCAAATATAGAAAAATAGTTTTTAATATATTTTTATAAGGAAATAATATATTTTTATAATATGCACATAATACTTTTGAAATGTGAAATGTTTACGTAGGTTTAATTTAAA